CTTTCAAATTATTATATTCCCTTTTTAAAAAAAAGAAAATTCTGAAGCTTTGGAATCTATTTCAAAGAGACTGGTTTGAACACTTACGAGGAAAAACCCTTTCCCCGGGTTGCGTTTCTGCACCTCTCATCTTGGGTGTTCGAATATAAAGAATTCGGACACAGAAAGTTCCGTGCTTCATATGAGGCAAAGTGCACGTCTCTATGTGATAATTAAATATCCAGATTGGACCGAGACCTTCGGAGGTGAGTTACGTTTTTCTCAAGCGGTTTGCCTAAGTGGCGCACAGATATTTAAGCTCCCGGAATCAGAAATCTACCAAGTCCACTCTGTCGGGCTCCCGAGATGCCATCTCCAGTGCCATGTGCCTCATGAGCAAATGAAAACACATGCACATGCGTGTACCTGGGTGGGTTCCTTACCAACCCGCCAAGGAAGTGAAGAGAGCTAGATAGAAAAAATATCCTTTTTTTAGAAGATTTTATTTATTTATTTGACAGAGAGTGACAGAGCAAGAGAGGGAACACAAGCAGGGGGAGTGGGAGAGGCAGAAGCAGGCTTCCTGCTGAGCAGGGAGCCCGATGCGGGGCTCGATCCCAGGACCCCGGGATCATGACCTGAGCCGAAGGCAGACGCTCAACCATCTGAGCCACCCAGGCGCCCCTGAAAAAATATTCTTTTAAATAAGGGAAGAGCCTCCATTTTACATTCATCACCTTTAATTTGAGAAAAATTCCCTTCATGAGTTATTTTTATAGCTGAATGAAACTCCTCAGAAAGACAGACTCCATGCAAAAGCCTGGTACCTCTAACCCCGGACTTCACGCGGTGCAGCAAATAATAAGGAAAGAAAGATGGGGGTAATGAGCCGGGAGCAAAGGAAGGCTTCTGCACATGGGTCTTCCTCTTCGTGCTGACGTCACAGCCTTGAAGGGGACATCACAGGGACACTGAAGCAGAAGGGCATCGGAATATTTCAGCAGAGAGAAAAGCCCCCAATTGTCTATGAGTATGGGTATCTTAGTTAGATTTGGGTTCCTTTTAGATTTGAAGTCACTCCTTACTTCGTGTGATGGTTGCCTGGCTTATCGGTACAGAAAGCCTAACAACTGCCACCTGAAACTGAGAGAGGCCAAAATGACATCAAGTTCCGTTACACAGAAAACCTGCAAGAAGCTTTCTTTTGTGCCTCTGCAGCTGGTCACCAAATATTTCTTGGATTGAACCAAACTGTGCAGGGCTTGTGCATACGAAGCGCTCAATGCCTAGTTACTGATGTCCCCTTTTATTTGCTCTATTGCCTAAATCTTGTTAAAAATATTAGATGCTCTTCGGGATATCCTTGGATTTTTTTTTTTTTTTTAATAATGAGCCAATCTGTCTTTACTTAAGGCAAAGATGTACTGGTGAGTACTTTCCCCTGCTTCTAACAAACATGAGGAGAAAAGCCTTTCCTCTGGGAAGTCCTAATCTTCCCAGGCTCCAAAGCTGGGCATCAAGCAGTTCACATGGATCCAGGCAGAGCAGAGCAGAGGAGAGCAGCCCCCCTCTCTGAAATCTTCAGAGATTATATTTAGGAATGGGGCGGGGGTAGAAAGGAGTCCTCACTATAAAGAATAAGTTTTCGATGCCAATTAACTTCCTTCCTTCCTTCTTTCCTCTTTTCAGTAAAGAGCTGGCAATTATTGTTAAATGAAATAATGTCTTGCTTTTGTTCCTTGCTCTCGATTACTTCCAGTCCCACAGTACAAACTGAAAGCCACGACCTCCATCATGCTCCTTTGGTCGGTATTTTTCCTATGTGCTCATTTACTTTATTTTTTTTTAAAGGTATTATTTATTTATTTGATAGAGACACAGCAAAAGAGGGAACACAAGCAGGGGGAACGGCAGGCAGAAGGAGAAGCAGACTCCCCGCCGAGCAGGGAGCCTGATGCGGGGCTCAATCCCAAAACCCTGGGACCATGACCTGAGCCGAAGGCAGACGCTTAATGACTGAGCCACCCAGGCACCCCTGTGCTCCTTTACTTTAGAAGTTCTAAGTCTACAGCCAAGTTGCCTGTCAACAGGCCCATGATCTACCTGCTGCTTGGGGGTGCAGTAGTCCAGTGGGATCTCAGCCAATCAGATCGTGAGGCAGAGCCTGGACAGAGACTCCGATCTCCTAATGCCAAATCTTCTCCAGCCTTCTTTGGATCGCAATAATCTTGATCTGCCTACACCCACATCCCAGCAGAAGATTTTAGATGTTGGAAAGGGCCCTCCCCTGTGGCGGCAGGCCCCCGAGAATTCTGTGAAAACCTCCGGGGCCCTGGGTGGGTGGGACAGTTTGGGGGCTGAGCCATTTGGGGCATCTCCATGGAACCTGCCCAAGGCGTACAGTTTAGGGTTCTGCATCTTTATGAGGTCCTTCCCCTTCTCTGTAACATTGTTTAAGCCAATGCCCATTAGTTGAAGTAGTAAAAGTAACTGTTGCGGTGAAATCCGTTTTATTGACTAATCTGCAACAAAAGTTTTTTCGAATGTTTCTTTTATGAGCTTGTAAAAGGGTATCTTCATAATATTTACAAATGTCCGTGGGATGGATATTTGTGAGCTATGGTGAGAAGCTTCCCAAAACTCCCTTGGGATAGTTCAATCCTGGACAATCTGATTGTATACACCAAAGGATTTAGCTTTCCATTTCCTAGAAGATGTTTAAAAACTTGCACTATTTAAATGAGCATACACTCAGTTCTCCCCTGGGAATATATATTTGATAAATCAAAATTAAAAAAACGCACCCCACCCTACATACAGCATGTAGCTATCTGAATTACAGTAGAGCAGAAGGAACTAAAGCATGTACCTAGAATCGAATTCAGCCAACCCTTGTGGTTTTCTTAATTCGTTTTCTGGATGAAATTAGGTGATGGTCACAAAAACATACTTTAAGAAAAGAAAAGGATGCAATTATTAAAGCCTCTCAAATATTAATCTGATGAATTAAAGTTAAAATGGCAACTCTATTGGAAACATGACAAAAACAGAGTGTTAGAGAAAAAAAAATTGAGCGGAGTCAACGAGGTTACACGTAAGTAACACCTTAACATTAATAGAAATCTATTTCCCATTTTGACCCTGAAACCTCTTCAATTAATTACTAAAATCTATTTACACAGCAACAAGATAAAAATCAATCGGATTCCTGGCACTGTGTCTGTTAGGTTGCCCTCTCTAATGTAAGGGGCCAGAAGGATCGTCAATCCTCCCGCATCTTTGCTTTTGAAAAGCTCTCCTGCTCCAAGGCATGGGACTTGGGCGACTGCCCTCTTCCACATCCAGAGCAGTGACGAAGCCAGAATCTGTGAAGCCCCTGAGGGTCAAGCCTGAGGGCGATGACAAAGTCCACTGTAGGGGACGCACACACCTGTGACAGGAACTCCAGTATCTGCCCTAACCACTGGCCCTTAGGGTAGATTAGAAAAAAAGCAGCCCCTTTGGGCTATCACAGCCCCCAGAAGGTCCAGCTTGGCTGGTGTAGTGCAGGTTTGATTTTAGACCTCTTCCTGTCCCCTTAGCCCAATGCTTTTGCACAGTGCGCAAGCCGCACCCATGTACGCAGAAAACAATTAAAACTCTTTTGATTATTAATATCATAAATTAAACCATGGTGAAACTAGTTAAGGATAATGAATAAAGTAACTAATTTGTGGGGAGGTAAGTGAAGATGACAACCTTTTAGGAGTTCCTCCCTCTGATGGCAGACACCGAGGCAGGCAAGAGCCAGGCCAGCAAGACTCTGCTACTCCGAGACAAGCCGAGCCTCAGGCCGAGTGCCAGAGCAACAATGGACCACGCCAATAGGTCTGAAAGGGAAATCATGGGTAATAAGACTCTACAAAGACTTGTTGGCTGAGACTGAGCAAGGGGATTCGTCTCCAATGCCTGAATCATTTCTCTTCTTGCTTGATCTTGTCCTACAGAAAGTAAATAGGCTACACATCTATGTCCTTTGAATTTTCCTTCCCAACCAGGGAAAACCAAGATGGCAAATGAGTAAAGAGATACATGGAGGGTTGAAGAGAAAAGAGTCCATCACACAGAGAGCAGAAGTTGCTTCGAGACAACCAAATCAAACGTACTGGTTCTCGCTCCCAAGCCTTTCCACACACTGCTTGGGCTGCCAGAAATGCCTCTTTCCTTTGTATGTCTGGAAAACTCCTACTCATCCTTCAAAACCCATCTTAAACATCATGTCCGCCAGACAGCACTGATAACTCCATTTCTGGGCTACCCTGCAGCACTGTATGAATATGGCTGACTGTTCTTCACTTTTATACTTTTCATCCTATGTTGTAATACGTGCTTATTAATTGGGCTTCCCCATAAATTATGTGGTCTTCAAAGACTGGGGGAGCGAGTCTCATTCACCTTTGTATCTTTTGCACCTAGCTGGGTGCCCAGTACAAAAGTAGACGCTCAATAAATATTTGCTGAATGAACGACACATACATGAATAAATGAATGAGTGAAGGAGCAGGCGATCGTGCATGATTCAGATGTCCACTGTTTTCATGGCTGTGCTAGATCTAGAAACAATCTCTCTCTGGGGGGCTCTTACCTTGCCAAAGTCCTTGGAGTCCAATCCTGCCTGTTTCCACATTCCCTGAATCCTCAAGCATTCGGACGTGCCCTATATGTGGTTGTGTTTTGTGTCACCAACATAGTAATTCTGAGATCCGAAGAGCACTCAAAAAGCCACAAGCTGGTCGCTATCACAGATTTAAACCACTTGAACAGATAGGAAAGAGGAGGAAAGAGTCCACCAGAATCCTAAAACATTCAAGTTTCCCAAGGGATGACTATTTAGACGTCCTAAATCGGGGTCACCTCACTGACGGTCCTGGACTTGCTGGTGGCCCAAAGGTGGCACTTTGTGGGGGCTTCCAGCTTCAATTCTAGAAGCATAGATCCTCGGGAACTAGAAAGAATCTTCAAATGACTTACTCCCACTTTCTTACTTTTCTGATGAGAAAACAGACCCAGAAAGATCATCCTGTGTCCACGGTCGCACAGCTTGAGAGGAAAGAAGGTTCTAGGGTAGGCTCTACTTACTTGAAGGGCTTTTCTCCAGTGTGGGTTCGGATGTGGTTGTTGAGGGTGGTGGCCCCGGCAAAGGCACGGCCACAGTAGCCACACTTGAAAGGCCGGTCACTGGAGTGAGTGACCACGTGGTTCCTCAGCTCGGACGGTTGTGAAAAGGACTGGGAGCAGTGACCACACTGATAAGGTCTGAAACAAATAAAGAGACTGACTGGTCACTACTGTCTGTGTCAGTCAGGGCAAATCAGCATCATGAGGCAAGGGCCAGAACTTTCCGGTGGTATTTTCTCATTTTTCCGAACAGCACCTCGGGCTCTGGCTGCTGGGTCCCCGAGACCCGTGCATGCTGCCATGGGAACAAAATTCACAGAGCTTCTGAGGCACATTAATTCCCAAACTGAGTATCCCTTTCCGGTATTAACCATACCATTTCAAGAACCCTTGCCTTCTTGTTTTTATCCCCACCCGAGGCAAATATTAGCGCGCTTTTGGGAGCATTGGAAGTATGGGCTCGATTAAGCAGAACATTACAAGAGAAGATATGTAATTGTTGCTCCTAATTCCGTGGCACTTGAAACTCTTCAAAGCGCTACGTCAATTACCTACTTTCATCTTCACCCTAATCCTCTGCGGCAGGGAAAGCATCTGTTACTATCTCTGTCAGTTCAGAAAACGGAGGCTACACCGTCCTCGTAGGAATTAAGTTTTTGAGGCCAAGGTTACTCTAGGGTGTGTGGACTTGATCCTGAGGTAAACATGCAGAGAAGGCAGCAAGCAGCCTGCACGTTTTAATAAATACTCAACTGCCTTGGGGTCTGCAAACACAACCTCAACTTGGGGTCATCTGAGAGTTCACGGATGGACCCAGGTGTGTACCCAGCCAGATCTGTCTCTTTATAAAAGCAATCCTGACTTAGGCTTACTCTTCTCTCACTCACTCACACACACACACACACACACACACACACTTAACCACTGGGTCTTTTCTTTAAACATCAGCTCCCCAGTTTAATTTGGTGGCAAGGAATGATTCATAGCAGCACAGAAAATGACGGGATGTCACTATGTTTGCAGGAGGGATGATGGTGATGCGAAGGCAAGTGGGAGGAAGTTGTGACAAATACCTGATAATTAGCAAGATTATCAGAGAACATTCTTTCCAGCTCGTGAGAAGGAAATCAATTTGGGGTTTTCATAAAATTAAAATTCTGTCTTCTCTACACAAGTTCTGCTGCTGACTGAAGCAGAATCTAGGGAGGGATGGAAACCCTGGGGGAGTTTTCCCCATTAGAAGTTACCTCACGTAGTTCTTGGACAGCGCTCTAATTTGTTTATCAAAGTTTTGGTTAAGGAAATTAAGAATCTGTCACGAGGGATGTGAACAGTGCTAGCAAAGCCCTGGTTTGTGGCCCAGACGTTCCTGGCTGCGTTTGAGAAAGCCCATGGCAGAAGCTGACTTAATCGCTCCACCTTCCACAAATGCATAAGCGCCAAAGACCAGAAACCAAAACGAAGGGCCAGGAGACATTGGTGAGCAAGCATGTACAATGATTCAATTAAGTGCAAAATAAAGTGGACCCACTCATTTGTCAAGCGAAGGGCTTAATTGTGGCTACTTGCCTCACTGAACACAAACACTATTATTTTACCAGGCTTCAGCGCACTGAGCACTGATTGTAGAATTTTTTAGCTTGATTAATAGTCCAGGATTGGTCAATAACTCAATACTATACAATTTTAATTACTTACATTTAGAAATCTGTTTAACTGCTCTCAAACAAGTTTCAAAAAATATATATAAGCATCCTTGGTAAGGAGTTTATCAAGCTTGATAAATTACATGTGCGTGTTATTGCAATTATTAAATAATGCTTTGAAAGCCATTAAAATTTTATGTACACGGGAAGGTCCTCCTGCCAAATCTGTTCTTTGTAGTAACCATTAACCTTAAAGTGTGCCTCAAAAAGAATTCCCTCAGGAGTCAACTTTTAAAATGTTATGGAAGATTATAAACAAAATAATTTATTAATATATGCTATATCCACTGACAATTGATTTTTCTAATAGTGAAGGGACCATTAACAGTGATTAGCCTCTGGTTACCTATTTTTAATAGCTATCACAATAAACAATAAACCACTAAATAAAGCCAATTAATCTTTTCTTTTTTTCTAAGTCCGCTGTCAAAAGTTGGGGTGATTTATTTCCTATGGTCAGAAGTCAATCCATCCTTTTTATGTTAACAGTCACTGCGGCCAAGATTTGCACACAGAAGAACAGAAATGACCCCAGAGAGGCTTATCCTGAATTCTCCTATCAAGAGACTCCCAAGGAAAGGCAAAGAGGATTCTAACACATCCCCCTTTGCCCACTACCGGCAGGAAAGGTACTTGCTAGGTATCCAGTGACCAAAGGCACAGCTTTAAAAACTTCGTAGAATTTAGCTGGACTGAATGGAAGGGTCTAGACAAAAGGGAAGACAGCAAAGCGGAGTCCTGCTTCAGCCCCTAGCATTAGGCAGTTAGGCAGCTGTGGGACTTGGACAAGTCAACTCGACTTCTGATTGCTGTCTCATCTCTCTGCTGAGAGGGATACACTGAGCTAGCTATTCTCCTGCATCTCGTCATGCTCTGTTCCTGCTTCCAGATGATCCACAAATGCATGCTGCCTGAGGATCTGTCCGAGACACGGCCCCACGAGACACAGCATCAACAACATGACCTCCATCTTCTATTCTGTCTACCAGCCAGTTCCTGGACACGGGAGGAATTAAGTTTTTGGTAAGGTTGTGTGTGTGTGTGTGTACATGCTAATTAGAATATGTTGTGTGTGTGTGTGTGTGTGTGTGTGTACATGCTAATTAGAATATGAACCATTTAAACTTAGTAAACAGCTGAGAATTCAGGGCAACAAGAAAATCTAGTACCACAAGGTAGTGCTAAACCTTACTTTAACTGATCTCAAGAAACAAATCGATGTCCTTTCATTCTTAAGTACCTTGAAGAGTAAGATCTTGCACCAAATGGTTACATTCACCTTGGCAAAAGCTGACTTTATGTAGAATTCAGAACTAAAATGTGTACTCTACCTGTCACTATAATAACAGCTTGTCTCCCTCTCAGCCTAGAAATTTATAGAAAGTCGGCCTTCAGAAACTACAGAAGTCGTACAACGAGTAGACAAGATTCTTTCTTTCCCTGGATTTTCACTATTTCCTAAAAAATGAATAAAAGGAAACAATCCAAAAGTAATTTTAACACCGACTGCATCATCAGGTTTCACCTGAGGACAAAGGCCTACGTTTGAGACAAAATGAATTCTCCAAGCCCGAAGGCAGGTCTCAGAAAACACCACCACCGCTGTGGAATCTTCTTTGGAACAACTGGCCACAGGGGTTAAGACTCACGATTTACACCTGAAGGGCTTTGAGGGCATGAAATTCGTTGCCATTACTCAGCTTTTTATCCTGATGACTAACATTCTCATTAACTTGTCCAGGTCTGGCCAAAAGTCAAGGCTTACGCTACTAAACCTGTAGATACAATCCATTTCAACTCCAAAGTTCTTCCTCCCTTCGACATGTCCTATCAGCAGGAGCTTGGGAGGATGATGTCATGGAGCACTGTGTTTAGCTCTCCTCTTTCCAGGTTCACAGTTAAATGGGAATCTCCTTCCTTAAGCACTCTGATTCTCCCCAAGCCCTCATCCACGGACGACATGTCATTATTCTCAAAACAAACGCAACCAGCATTCCTCACAAAGGGATGGCAGCTCAAAACCAGAAGAAGCTCATGGCTTTTTTACTACTTGAGACATCTAGCACTGGAAATGTTCTTTATCTACACTATCTACTATGGAAGCCATGAGCTCCATGGTTCATGGCATGAGAAGTGGATGTGCTATTTTATTTTGATGATTTTAAATTTACCTAGCCTTGTGTGTGACTAGTGTCAACACAGAAATATCAAGGCTTCATGGAAAACGAGAAGGTGCTCCATACTCAAAAAAAAAAAAAAAAAGCCAAAAACTAAAAAACCGACAAAGCCTGGGTCAAGTTAGTGAATGTGTATCACCGTGAGTCCATTTTGAAGCAGACAGAGAGCAGCGAGACAATTTTGTACACCCCCTGGCACTCCGTGACTGGCAGTAACCCGGCCCAAGATTCCTCTCCAGGACAATGTGCAATTCATTTGCTTGGAGTCTGTGATTGGTTTGGTGTACACAGAGCAAAAAGGATGAAACATTTAACAAAATTAAGTGTGGTCTGGTTTAAAATATTAATCCTTTGATTTTTCTTTCGGGGCAATGGAAGCCTCCAGGACAAAAGCTGTTCCGGCTGGGCCCACATTCTCTCCTTGCCCTGCATCAAGTCCGCCCACGTGCAAATCTTCCAAGACTTCAAAGGGAGCACTACTTAGGTCACTGCTGGGCTGTCTGGAGGGAGAAAAGAATGCAGCTCTACGGAGGGAGGAAAGATTTCAGGGAAGTGGCAAAAGGGCAGAGCCAAAGAACGTGGAGAACACGGAGCCCTAGAAAGAAGAGAAGCTTCACGCTTGGGGACCGGGTGGGGGGGGTGTGGAGGGGTGGGGGAGGACAGTGGAACACAAGAACATGGACACACTGCAAAGAAACGATTACGGTGATGGTGATGGATTATCTCCAGGCTCCTCCCACCAAACAGCACCTCCGAGGGTCGTCTTGCCCTCTGGTACCACCACAACCAATCACAGACGATGACACTCAACACAGCACAAATGTGAATAGCTGACGGGGCACCCAGGAGGCTAAAAGGCAAACAGGGGCCACACAAAAATCAAAAAGGAGACAAGAAAAGGACGCAACATAAAGATAAGCATTATAAAGACACTTTCTGCAGAAAATAAAAAGAAGACATGGTCATCAGAAAATAATCCACCAAGATTGCTTACCCCTTTCTGGAGCCCCCCCAGTGGGACTGTTGAGAGTTTCTGCAGCAGAAAAACAGAAGAGAAAAGGGATTTCTAACTTCTGGTTCAAGCAAAAGGGATTTAAGCTGTCCTAGTCTAGGTCATAAGCTAATGCAAAAACCCAAGTATTTTTGAAGTCCCTAAATAAAATCTTGATGGATCTAGAGCCTAACAGCTTCTTCCCTTTGAATTCACTCAGGAAAAGACAAAGCCAGTAGCTTGGGAAAAAGGAAGAAGAGAACTGGAGGTTTGTTTGCTTATTTAATATTAACAGAACAAAATCAAGAAAAAAACATTTCTGTGGCTCCTGGATCCTCCTGGATATGTTTTTTTATCTTCAGTGCTAATTCTTACCTGACCAGGTCAACTGGAATTTCTTTCTGCATTTAGTGTAAATAATGTAGTAATGAAAAATGGTAATAATGCTGGCAAGCCTAGGTGTCCCCAGAGCTTTCTCTTTTCTATCAAGGCAGAGACTTTTTGATGGTCTCTCACATGGAAAAGCTCACAAAAACAGTCTCTTTGATGAAGGTTCAAATGTCTTGGGTTTTGTGGCCAAATATTCCATCTGTTGAGTGAAAAATTTTGGACCTCGGATTCAGGGGCCTGTTTCAAATTTGGACCTGTTTGAAACTCTAACCTGTTTGCCTTCTGACTTTGTCTTCGGTGTCTCTCTTTTTCACCTCTGATTCTAGCAAGATTTTCCTACCAAAATAAAAGCGTTCGAGTTTTTCAAATAGAGGGGAAACGGTTTCTGACTGGCAGGTTCTAAGCTTTGTCACTGCATACGGCTGAACGCGCACAAAAGTCAGCTGACTTAGGAAGTCAATAACTAAAGAAAATATGTACATTCAGCATTTGTAATTCTCCACATATAATAAGAGAAATATGTAATTCTCCACAGATAATAAGAGAAAAGGCTCCAAATTTCAGGACCATCATAGAGAAATCTGATGCTCCAATTTAGTTCTGGATATTTCTCTTATTTAGCAATTCACTCATGTGGTTAAGCATTATGGAGAGTGTCTTTTATTTCCAAACTTGCTAGTTCCAAGACAGCATTCTAAGTTCTAGAACAGGAAAGAGCTATTCCAGTCCTATATGCTAAAAGCAAACTGGATACCTAGAAAGAAACAAGTGCGTCAAAGTGAGTGGGTATCTTCCACTATTTTGCCCCTTACCTCCGATAATCAGTTTGGTTATGATGGAGTAATTCAGGCATCTCCTCAACATGACTAAGAAACAATGTACCTTATTACTTTGCCTATAGAGGGCCCAATTTTTTGAAGTCATAAATCTTAAATTCAACTGATCCATGAATGATGGTGACCACCTCTCAAGTGTTGACCAACAAAGCACAGGGAAGGGAGAAGTACAAACCCACCACTTGAATAATCTGATCCCACTCTAGCTATCTACCTGGGCATCAAAGCACCCATCACTATACCTTATCTGGGAAGGCTGGGATCACCACACCTGGGCATCTGAGTCAAATAAGCCCAACAGGGTCTAGCCCAGGATGGAAATCTCATGCCATTCAGATCTGTGCCAATAACTCTAAATTAGCTTGGAATCAGCACTGACCCAACAGTCTCTCGTGGAAATGCATTTTGTATACGTAAGTTTTCTCTGTCAGGTATTTTTCTGACAGTTTACACAGATGCTTTGCAAATTATGACACTATTATTTGATGGGACAGACTTCCTAGGGACTTAAACCATAATACACATATGGTTTTCTAAGTGTAATTGGGGTCAGACAAAATAGTCTGTTTCAGTATCTATTTACTGTGACCTATTCTCTTTGCTTTACGTGATATTCAGCATGAAATCGTATCATACTCGAGCTAAGCTTTGTGTTCCAGTATCCAGAAACTTCCAACCATCATTTCATTTTACTTTGCATCTTCAATCTTTATAACAACAATGCACCTGTGCAAATAACAGACCCATACATCTGAATGCACTCAATTTAAAAAGCAAGTTGACGATAACACAAACTGGTGCATCTTTTATACTTAAAAAACTATGAAAATGCATTGCAAACTTTGGATAGATATTAAAGCTCTATGTATACTTGCAAGAGAGAGGAACTTTCAGAGAAAACCCTTTCTTTTTTTTATTTTTATTTTTTTAATATTTTATTTATTTATTTGACAGAGAGAGACACAGCGAGAGAGAGAACACAAGCAGGGGGAGTGGGAGAGGGAGAAGCAGGCTTCCCGCTGAGCAAGGAGCCCGATGTGGGGCTCGATCCCAGGACCCTGGGATCATGACCTGAGCCGAAGGCAGACGCTTAAAGACTGAGCTCCCCAGGCATCCCAAAAAACCCTTTCTGAGTGAGGAAAATATTTTCAAAACTTTTGTAACTCCTGTAAAGCCAAAAAGTACTAAGATGTTCAGAGGTCTGGTGATCTTTTTACTAGGGCCTCGCCTGTCGAAAGTAAAAGATTATAAAGACCCAGCTCTTGGGGGCGCCTGGGTAGCTCAGTTGGTTATGTGTCTGCCTTGGGCTCAGGTCATGATCCCAGGGTCCTGGTTTGAGCCCCGGATTGGGCTCTCTGCTCAGTGGTGAGCCTGCTTCTCCCTCTCCCTCTGCCTGCCATTCCCCTTGCTTGTGCTCGCTCCGTCAAATAAATAAAATCTTAAAAAAAAAAAACAAAACCCGCTGCCTTAAGATCCCTAATGCAACCATTTCAACATTAATTACAGCAATGCTTTGATGCTTAAGCAAGTGGTTTCTAGAATGGCACAAATAAAAACATATACACATATAAGTGTATGTGCGTATGTACACTAAAAGGGATCCTTTTTATTATTTTAGAAGACGTCCAACCCCTCTCCAGCACAACTCCTCTCTCTGTGTCCCTGCTGGGTTTTCTACGACGCTGTCATACTCTGCACAGCTGGGAGGGGACAGCCAGGTGTAGAAAATAAGGCAAAGAGGGCTTGAGTGGCTTAAGTGAATCGGTGGCCAAATTAAGAAAATAATTCAGAAGACTTGCCTCCAAGTCTCCTATCCTCCTTCCAAAAATCCTTTTCTGCGTTTCTATTCAAAGTGCGTTTTCAAGGCTATTCTTAGACATTTGGGGTTTAATCAAATTTTCACAGGATGTGAAGGAGAGAGTGAAAACACACTCCTTTCTTATTGAATTATTTTGATTTTTGTCTTTTGCGCTCCCAGCTATCAAGACTGTCGAATAAACCAGTTTTGATTCATAAATAATAGTTCCATTATATCTACTGTGCCACTCGTCAGAGCACCTGAAATTTTAATTCACTTGTTCAGCTAAATTTCATCCTCAGTTCATGGCCATAAAATTCTTTATTGACAAACTTTCAAACCAACTTTGACTCTGAGGTATCTAGTCAACATTTTTCTTCTGTGTGGATATTAGTTTATTGAATAAGTGGCATCTGTTTTCCTCCACATCACTAGCAGAGTAGGTATTTCCTTTTGACAGCTTTGCAGGATTTATGGCTTTGCATGCACTGAAGAAAAATAGTACTAAGCAAAAAATTCCAATTCATTACCTCTTAGTACTTAATTAAGTTCATACCCACGGCACACTGGAGGTGAACCCTGAAATGCCCGCGACAGCAAGCAGAGCATCCAGCTATATTATCTTAGGAAGACAGAGAGGATTCTGATGATCTGGACCTCATTTTTCCATCTCTGATATTCAGACATGTGCCGTCTACTTTGCTCCCCGTCGGACGTGGACAGAACCACGTGGGAAGCAAGAGCAGAACCCTCCCTGCAACCCCTGTCGTTCCCGTAGCCTGTCCCAACAATAAAGTCGAGCAGGGGCCCCACCATTCATCTCTGCCCTTCTAGAACACACACACCTCCCATCACAGGGTCCCCCCCCACCCCCCGATCCCCAGGCGTGGTGCGGGTGGAGGAGGCGCCCGGAGCCTGGCGGGCGGAAGGCAAGCAGTGGGTCTCCCTCAGCGAGAGTCAGGGTTACCTGTCGGGGTTCTGCGTGCACACGTGCATCTGTAAGAGGATCCGCTGCGTGAAAGTCTTAAAGCACTGGCCGCATTTCCAGAGATGCCAGTCACTGAACTCCGGGTGCAGCTGACTGGTGGAAGTCGGGCTCGCGAGCACTCGCTGGTTTTTCACGTTGATCTGGTTAAATCCCGATTCCATGGGCCCAGACTTGTCCAGGAGAGAGAAGTTCCTGGTGCAGGGAGTCTGCGGGAAGACCACGGAGCGCTGCGGGGCGGCGGGGGGCAGCTTGCTGCTCTTGCTGAAGGGTTGCAGGGCGTCCTGTCTGCACATGGCCTCCATGACCGTCGAGGGGACATTTACTGGGAAAACAGCAAGAGGGTGCGGGGATTAGTTTTGCTGGCCTTTAAAAGAAGCACAGTACCACACAGTTTAAAAAAAACTCCTTTAGATCAAGATTTAAAAAAATGTTTCTGGACTCCAAAGTCACATGGTAACGGACTACTTGACGGGGGGGGGCGGGGGAAGCAGGATTGCTGCCAATTACTAGCTCGCTCAGTGCCTATTTATTTAGCAAATACTATACGCTCAGGATTGTTGGCATGCTGTGTTTGCCTCACAGAGTTCACTTCCGAGTTGAGAGAGAAAGACTCCAGAATGAGGCTCCACACTGCACCCGAGGTTCAGAGGGAGTTCAGAAGGGACAACCAGCAAAGGAGGGGGAGAGAAAGGGTGGCTGCCCACAGAGGGTAACCCTGAGCAATGGCGAGAGGTAGAGATCCAGGCCCTCAGGATTTCAGGCCTTCCACTAGACCTTGCCAGCACAGGACATTCCAGAAAAAGTGGCTGAAAGATGAAGCGAGCAATGTGATAGACACCTGGAGACAGAAGTCTGGCAGCCTGGTGGGATGGCGACAGGGACAGGATGACCAAGCAGGGCATGGGTTCTCAACACCATGGAAATAAGGGGTGCAAGAGGGGGGCAGACCTCAGAGGCTCTTTAAAGTCCAAATAAAGAAAGAAATAAAAGATGTCAGGCCCAGGAAATAGACACAGAGTGTCTCTGTATAGAAACAGCAAGAAAGAAAAGGAAGAAGATGGCAAGAGAAAAGTGTTCAGGTGATTTACAGATAGGGTGCAGCGAATAAGGTAAGATGCGGGTAACAGAGTAGGGTGCTGGCAACGTGGGTTTGAGAATCAGAAAGACCAAGATTCAAATCCTGACTCTGCCTTCTATTAGCTTGGTGATCTTAGGCAAGTTATTAAAAAAAGAAAAAGAAAGAAAATATATATATATGTAAAAATATGTCTGTGCCTCAGTTTCCCCATCTGTAAAAGGAGGCCCATGAGAGCAAGAATCCTAAAAGTAACAGCAGCATGGCTAAGTGGCTGAGATGGCCTCTGTCTTACCTCCACTATCTATATTAGCCTTGGGACGCCTGGTAAGTCCGAAAGTCGAAATCCCCAATTTTGTCCTTGGTGAAATGTAAAATGGTCACCCTAAGGATTAAGTCCATACATAGATAGCTTTTAGAAAATGCCATGGCTGCCACTCCCCAGATGTGAAGCCCTAGGAGCACTGGCCTCATCTTGAAACCCCGTTAGGACATGTAAACAAGACAATGAAAGTATCCACCATACGGCCTCCCATCAACGACAGCCATCACTCCTGCTATTATAGAGAAGAGACCGGAACGAGCGAAGACGGATGTGAACTGCAATGGTGGGGAAAGAACTAGAAGTAAGAAACATTTCTGAGGAAGGGAGCCTAACAGACGTGAAATCATTTTCTTTTTTTAAGTTGTTATGGTGCTAATAACCTATCTCGTGCACTCACTGGTCAACTCACAGGGGCAGAAGTGATCAGAAGCTAATACGCTTTATCTTTTGGTTTGTTTTTTTTTAAGATTTTTATTTATTTATTTGACAGAGAGAGGCACAGTGAGGGGGAACACAAGCAGGGGGAGTGGGAGAGGGAGAAGCAGGCTTCCCGCAGAGCAGGGAGCCCGATGCGGGGCTCGATCCCAGGAACCTGGGATCATGACCTGAGCCGAAGGCAGATGCTTAATGACTGAGCCACCCAGGCGCCCCTAGAAGCTAATATGCTTTAAAACTGCCATTCTTGTTTTAAGTAACTACTGCGTCAATAAAATGTATTTATTGGTTATTTCAGGGGTCAAAGGGATTAAAGGTCACAGGGCGGGCGAGAGAAGAAAATCAGAGACCAAAACATTGGAAGAGGTTGAGGGGCAAAAAGACAGGGGATGGGAAGTAAACCACAGCTCTTGGCCACTGGTTCAAGGTCACATGGAAGGACACACATGATCTGGGGGCTCTCGTCCTTCCTGCCACGGACCATCGCTGAGATGCCGATGTAGCATGCAAACTCAAGCGTGTTCAACTGCAAAGAGCGAACGGTGGTGGACCGTGACCGCCAGGAGCCTCCGTGCGTGAGTTGGACATAGAGACACCATGCGTGGTGGAGACACAAAGTGGATAGTGTGTTGCCATTAAGGATTGTCCAACCCAGAGACTGTTCTGTATAATCACAGCTATGACACAAATCCACCAAAAGGAACAGCTCTGTCTATGGGACTCTGGCAGCATGGCCCATCCTGTCTTGGGAAGGGAAAAGAAAGAAGAGATTCGCAGACCTGGGAAGACTCTAGGGTCTATGCAGCTGAATGCACATTTATACTCGCAGGAGAGGCTTTTAAAAAATTAAATCAGACTCTCTTGATAGGACCTGGGCGTCTGCACTTTCAGACGCTCTCCCAAGTGCTTCTCATGGACCCTCAGGTGCGAGAATCACTGATCTAAACCAAAACTCTCTCTTATTACAAATGAAAAAAGCTGAAGCCCCAGAAGGTCCAATACTGGAACCTGCTCAGGGTCACAGGCAGTTAAGGACACAGCTGAGCTGTAAGCTTTAGCCTTCTAACTTCCAAGGCATTTTTTTTTTCTGGCCACACTCCTATCTTGTCACTGCTCACCAGCTGTGTTTCAAAAATAAAAGGAACATTTTATAGCTAGCACAGTGTTTCGTGTGTGTGTATAAATATATCCTATAAACATATGTCATATATACATATATGTATATATATACACCTATACACACCCATGTGCATGTTTATGTGTCTACCTTTATTTTATATATAAATATTTACATGTAATTTCGACTTCTGAGGCAAAAGTGTATAATCAATATGAAATTTGTCCATACATTTTAGGCATCCCCCCCAAAAAATCACTGCACACAGACTGTTTACTCTTGAAATCGGTGTTGAAAGGTAAGGAGGAGGATTTTACACAGGGTTTAGCACTTTTTTAGCAAAAAATAACAGCAGCATTGTCAGAGATCAGGGCAGAACCCATTTTGTGTCGCCTGTTTATAACTAATCCAGAAGAGACAAATCACAGGGGAACCCGCACGTTTTCAGGCAACACGAAGCTCTTGCGGGGCGGGAAATGCCAGACCAACAGGAAGGCATGGCGGAAAGATCGTCAAATGAAGATGTCATCAGCATGCATGAGAGCAGAATCACCAGCCCCAAGCTTCACGATGGGAAGAGGAATATAACGCCTTTGGGAGAAATTAACGCAAAGGAGACTTTACGTAGAGATTACAAATTCTGACTTTCTCACCTCTCCTGAAAAATAACCTAGTAAATTACTTTTCAAAAACCATAAGGTCACATCACCTTTATACGAAGCACGAGAATTGGTGGGCAAATGAACTTAACTCTAATGATCAATGTCAACATGGTAATAAAGAAAAATTTATACCAGCTTGTATAATAATCTGGGATATATGGGATTTGAGGTAGTAATAATATAGGGCAATTAACAGTGCAGATGGCTGGAATAAAATTATGCTCTGTCTCATTATTTCCTTCTCTGGAACACCTCAGAGCTTTCAGGCAATAAGTAGCAACAGTGACATGCTACTCTCCTTTTGGTATATGCTCCTTTACTCTAAGTGTGACTCAATTCAATCTTGCTGAATGAAATGAGCATGTAATGCAGAGAGAAGAAAAAGTAAGGATGGGAAGAAATAATTATCACAAAAGCAATGATATCTGACCTCTAACCTGTCCTGCAGAGCTCCTACACACTTCCACAGGACCCTAGAAATCTATGAAGCATAGCTTTTTATTTTTTATTTATTTTTTTAAAGATTTTATTTAATTATTTGACACACAGAGAGAGCGCAAGCAGGGGGAGTAGCAGGCAGGCTCCCCACTGAGCAAGGAGCCTCATTCAGGGCTCGATCCCAGGACTCTGGGATCATGACCTGACCAAAGGCAGACACTTAACTGATTGAGCCACCCAGGCTCCCCAAAGTATAGCTTCTTAGAGCAGGACTTAAGCAACACAGAAAGCTGTTCTTCCTAAACTGCAGCCTCACTGGCTACGACAATCGAAAGTATTCACAAAACACAGGACATTATCAGAGAGGGGACAGCCCATACAGACAAGTGCAAGAGGACTGAGATGACTAACCAAAGTGACCTAGATGATGAAGTGCCTTCTACACGAAGACACACTGAGCTGGTAAATCTCTTCCACCTACCAGACAAAGATGAAGGGGTAGAGGGCAAACTCTCAAAGCCCTAAAGGATCTAGAGTCAAGGAACAACATGAACTCATCAAATCCTGGAAAATCAAAAGAGTGGGAGTGGCAAATGCAGAATCCCTAAAACAACCTTTCGTCCATTCATTCAGCCCCCAAATACTTAGTGAGCTTCTGCTCCATGCCTGACGTGGCTGGTGCTGCGGGTACTGGGGCTGGGGGTGGGGGGGTGTGGAGGGATAAGTAAGACCCAGCCCCTGGCCTCATGCCACTTACACTCCAGTGACAGAGACAGGTATCAAATTGATGTTTCTACAAAGAAGTACTTACTCTGTTTCATCAAATCTAAAATGCCCTTACTTGCAGGTTGTACCATGAACTGTCAATCACCATTCATTGCCAAGGCATCTCCCAGGTTCAGAAAGAACAAAATGTGAACAACATGTGCGTGTTGCTGCAAGTGTGATATGTGCTATGAGAGATACGAAGAGGTGCCTGGAAAGCATATCACCAGGATGGCTACAGCTGGGGTGGGAGGGGCAGCTTCCCTAAGGCAGTGACCTTGAATGTGAATCCCGTAGGATGCACAGGTCTCAGACAGGTGTGAAGGGGAAAAAAAAGACAATGCAAGAAGATGAAACGTGGGCAGTTTGGCCATAGGGTCTGTGCAGATGCTAAGGGAGGAAGGAGCTCAACAGAGGATGTAGGGTCTGCAACAAACTGGGGCTGGACAGGGGCTGGACAGAGAGGGGCTGTCCCCTCTCTGATAATGTCCTGTGTTTTGTGAATACTTTCGATTGTCGTAGCCAGTGAGGC